CGGTAGTGACCTTACCTCTGAGCCAGATAGGCCTGAGTTCAAGTCCCGACCGTTCTAGAGATGTGTCATAACATTTCTGAACAAGTTGTTTCAAATATCTATGGAGGTTATGTTGAATCTTAGACATATTAGCAATTACTAACAGGAGGTGGAGAAGACCTCATCAAGAAACTCTATCAGACTCCAACTGATTTTTAACCTGGACACTGTGATACATCATCAGAATGGGCAGAGCTCAACATAGCTCAAATATTAATTCTTTCAGAAGCATTACCTCTTATAACAGTGTTTCAGAAATGTTAGGGCCCTGGGTAGTGTTGTAGAACAGAGAGACCTAGGGGTTCAGGTACATAATTCTTTGAAATTTGCATCACAATTAGACAGGGTGGTTAAGAAGGGGTTGAACACGGCTCCTTTCCCTGCCACTGCAGGAAGTACTGCACCTGCTCCTATACCTCCCCCCTGACCTCCATTCAAGGCCGCAAACAATTTTTCCGAATCCAGCAAAGATTCACTTGCACATCTTCTAATTAAGATAAGGGTATGACGTATTTTGAAATGGATAAAAAGGCAAGAAAAAAAATTAGATGAAAATTGGATACTTCACCATGTGATACCCCAGTCAGGAGGCCACCACATTTTTCTTTCTCGAACCCCAGATGCAAAAGTGTAGGATTGCACGAAAGAACTTTAGGTTCCAAGAATTAGACAAAATGATCCATGGAACATGCTAGTCCTTAAACAAAATACCACAGATGCTGGAAATCTGAAATATGAACAAAGTACTGGAGAAACTCAGCAGGTTTCGTGGAGAGAGAAACAGAGTTAACATTTTGAGTCCAATATAACACTTCTTCAAAATTGAAAGGAGCTGGAAAATCAATGTTTTTATACTGTCAACAGAGGATGAGGGGTAGCAAGTGGATAAGATTGTAACGGTGACCAGAGCAAAAGTCCAAGGGATTGCTGATGGCAGTAAAGGAGATTTAAAATGTGTGTAAATGATAGGCATGGGAAGGAGAAATGACTTCACTCTGCTGTGAGCAAGGTCCTGGGCAAGCTACAGTGCTCTGATGACGAATAATATTAGCTAGAGGAACAAAGCCTCACTTTTCATTCAGGCACTTTACAGCCTGTAGGGCCCATATTCAATTCCACTTCTGAATGGATGCATTTTCTTCTTACCATATTGTATAATTAGATGTTGGGTAGAATATGTGCACTCCTGAACAAAATGTGTTAGGACTTCTATGGGACACACTCAGCATTTTGATATCAAAGTGATATACAATCAGCCATAAATTTGTAACAAGGGTGCAGCTTGATTTTTTTAATCAAATGTTTCAATGCATTTTGACTATTATTGCATTTGTGTTTTCTTTTTCCTCAATCTGTTGTTTCAACATGGGGTGCAATAAGACTCTTGACTGTTTCTCTTTAGATTTCCTTGGCTAATGATGCCTCACTTGTGATCTACTTCCTCAGTATGTCACAATGCCTCCACTTTTGTTTCTGCCTAATGATTGTGTTATAATGTTTATAAAGCTAAGAGAATAAAAGAGAATGAGCAAATTGAGCTATGACTGTAAAGAAAATCTAACTTAGAGGTGCATTGGAATAGAGGATTTATGTTGTGTAAACTATTAAAAGTGGGATAATTACAGTTTCACTGAATATAACATACAGTTGTAATCATGAATAGCCCAAGGCAGTACCTTTCTGCATTTAGTGAAAATCTAAGGTAACCACAGATTTAGAGTCAAAATTTTTCTTTTATAATGCAATGTCTGTGTGTGCCAGATCTCTGTGATCTGCTTTAAAAATAGACATTGACAGATCGTATGTAGTGCAGGCTAAAGTGGACAAATTGTGTTTACTGTAGATTGTGTTTTTTTAACCATAACAATTTTTCAGAGCCCTTTTACTTAAACAAGCATCACTACAAACTCACCAGTCCATCTGTGCATGTGATGGATGTTCACATGTTGAATTAAAGAATGGGTTTGTCTACTCCTCAGTTCTGAGATCACAGACAATCGATGTCTCATTTTATGGAGCAGTCTTGTTTTTCTTAACTTTAGTAAGAATGTGCAAGCCACGCAAAAAAGATATTCAGCAGTCTGTATAAGTTACAAACTGATCCTCCTCCATTAATTCAAATTTCATTACACAAAGTCCTGAAGTGGCATTTTTTTTTCAAAAATAATTTTAAACTTGTTTTACTTTGACCTCCCTAAATTCCTTTGCTTTAGGCACCAACAGGAAGCTTTCCCCCATGTTCTGGTCACATGAAGCAGTTTATTCAGAACAATAGTGCTTGCCAGAAGTAAATTGGATAGTTCCGCTATTCAGTGCAAGAATACTTTTGTAGTTCACAGCAGTTCACTTGAATGATTTAGTTGAACCCATGCAGGGCAAGGGGGTCATTACAAATAGCAGATGGCCCTGTTTTCAGATGCAAACAAGAATGTAAAATGAATTACAGCCATGTTATGAAAGTGTTGTGAGCTTGAGCTATGACCGATCATTTTAAAGATAGGAGGGTTAAAACCGAATTCTAGTAAGGATGCAAAATGGGCAGAAGCAGAGGCCAACAAAAAAGGAAAATGGAAAAATAGGGATGAAATTGAGATGGTACTTTCAGAAAAATGGTTTCCTCATTCAAAGACACATGGCCAACATTTTTTTAAAAATCAGGACATTACAGAAATGAAAGACTTTGCTATTTAATGTTAAGGCATATATTTCTGGAGGTATTCCAGATGATTTAAGAACATCACATGACCAGTTTAATTCTTGAGCAGCTGCCTAAGCCCTGATTGTTTTTCGGACTTGTGAGCAAAGTATCGCAACAGTATAAGACCAGTCACCTCATTCTGTCTCACATATGAACCTTTTAATGAATCACATTCTTGATATAGACAGGTTGAGGCTAGAGGACAACAGCTGAGCAGAACTCAGTGATTTAATGACGATGGAACCAGGGGTTTTAAACGTGAAACAAAAAACAGAAAGTGTTTGCAAAACTCAGCAGGTCTGGCAGCATCTGTAGAGAGAAAAACAATGTGGTTTGGTATTAAATGTGACATGTGACAACATGAGATGAATCATGATTATCTTATAGGCATCCAAAGATGCAAACTGAAAGACCACACAAGCTTGTTTATGTAGGAGATGCTCACGTATGTCATGACAAATCATGTAGACAAATTGACTCCTTATGATCACTCAAGCAGCGTGGACACATGAGTATAGGGGATCTCTTGACCCAGTGGCACTGTCCCTACCTCTGGTTCAACAGCTGCCAGTTCAAGCCCCACTTTGGGACACGATGACCGTGTGTCATTTCATGGTCAAACTCGTTGATTATAAAACTGTAAATTTGGCTACATCAATGGCAGGCAGGATGAGTGGGTGAGTTTTCTCATCAACCAGAACCATGTAGTAGCTGCGGATCAATAGACTCCGCGTACAGATTCTCACCATGAGCAAGGGTCATCTTCATTCCCAGGCCTACCACACGCGTGCACACACAAGACATTGGCTTCGAGCTCACAGTAATAATGGCATCTGGTGAGGGACAACCATTCTGTGAAGAACATGGTTGTCTGTGTTCAGTGGTTACATAACTGATCACAGAAGTATGTAAATGCCCATGTGCAGTGATCCATGTATAGGAGCAGTATAAAAATAATGCAAAAGGCTAATAGAAAATGGGACTTTACCTCAAGAGAACTGGGATACAAAGTGGGAGCGCTGATAGAGGTTACTAATGTGTATTTCCAAAAGAATTTGATCAAGTTCCAAGTAGGAGGCTTCTACAAAAGAGAACCCATAGAATTGGAAGCAAAATATTGGCATGGATTGGCTATTGGTTAAGATATATGAGGCAGCTTGTGAATACTAGGTATCGTCTCCAGTTGACAGGAACCCAGGTGCCTGTACTTAGCCCTGAGTTTTTCATTATATTTATAAGTGACTTTGGCTGAAGGAGTAGAGAGCCATACAATCAAATTTACTGACAGCAATAAGTTAGGTAACACAATAAATGTTATATATTACAAGAACATAATATAAGACTAGGCTTATATTCCCTCGAGTATAGAAGATTAAGGAGTGATCTAATCAAAGTGTTTAAAATGATGAAAGGATTTGATGGAGTAGGCAGGCACCATAATTTGGAAATCGAGAGATACTCATTCCTCTGTTGGGAGAATCCAGAACAAAGACACATCACATTATTATGACTGTTCAGAAGTGATGTCAGGAAGCGATAAAGTGTAGTGGAAATCTGCAACTGTCTCCAACAGCTGCTGAAGCTGAGTAAATTGAGAATTTAAAGCTGAATGTTAATTTTTTTATTATGAGGCAAAGATATTAAGATTTATAGAACCAAGGTGCGAATGTGGAATTAATGTGCACATCAATCAGGATCTGTTGGAATAACCAAACTGGTTTGAGGAACTGAATGGCTATTCTTATTCCTGTGCTGTTATCTGTGAGTAGAGATTGGACTATTTTAAATTTGCATGGATCACAGATGAGGAACTTCATTCTTCTGAGTTCTTCAGTATTTTAATAGGAATATCTTAGAAACGGAGGGGATTATAGACAGTTTGCTCAAGAAAGAGGAAGTCAAAGCAATGCAGCATGGACCTTCCTCTTGGGTCTAATGCAGACAATTCCAAGTGATAGATCTTAAAGGATTTGCAGGCTGATCATCTTCCAGAACAAAGCTGCGTGCCGTAGAGAGAGATTGGAAGAATTTTACCCTTTCACCTTGTAAACAATTTTACAAGCTCATATTCTGAAGCAGTGTGTTCAGACACTCAGCAGATCATGGATGTTTGGGAAGTAAATAATGTACTTAATTGTTCATGGAGGACAATGAGCTTTGTAAACACATCCTGGTGAGATGTGATGGTAATTTAGTGAAACAGCTACATGATATTGTTTGAGGATCGTGTTTTATGGTTTCTTTTATTCTGTTTAATCCACAGATACACCCATTCAGTATGCTCACAGCTCATTTGAAAATGATGTCGCAAAACTCTACATACAAGATGCTTTGCCAGAAGATGATGCTATTTATACCTGTGTAGCAGAAAACAAATTTGGAAGGACGTCTTGCTGTGCTAAAGTGACAGTAAAAGGTAAGTCAACCATTAAAAATCCATACGTAAAGATGCAAATAATATGGTAAACTCATGAACTATTTCACTTGAGCATTCCTTATGAAAGTAGTTCGACCGTCATCCTGTTATTCAGCTTCCTTTAATGGTTCAATTCTGCTCAAGCATTGGTCCAGAATTTTCTGAAGTGTGACAAATTGCTCCATAGGTTAGAGTTTATTCCTGATCCCTCAGCTGGAAAAACCCCTGTCTTGTAAATTTCTGGATGTGCAAGTATTAACATGGCCAGAACAGCAAAATGAACCTCCGGGAACAATGGAGGGAGCAAATTTGGTCAATTCACAGTTCATTGTGAGCATTGTCTCAATGTGATGGGCTGAACTATTTATGCATAAAAAATGTTATGTGCATTAAACCTGCTTAAATTGTCTATGAAGTTAGGCATTGAGTATTTTGTGTAGTTTAGTTTTGCAATTGCCTTCAAATTTTGCAAAAAGATTACGTTACTCACAGTCTTGGATTTCTTATTTGCTTGCACTGAAAGTGGAGATAGGTAACTCATTGCCAAGTCTTGCATTAGTCATCATTCATTGTGTGTGTTGCATCAACATGTTAATATTCCATTTGGGGAAAAGCCTAATTTTAGTTGATATTTCTGCAAGTTGTAAAGAGGAAAAATCAGAAACTTCATTAACGAGAAATCGCAAAGAAAAAAATACATTCTACTACTGCAAGATACAATGCAATGCACTGAAAGACAGCATTGACTGACCCTTTTTTTTTTACACTTGCTGCTCCTTTTCTCTTGGTCTTCCTCATTTACACATTAATTTAAACATGTAAATATTTTAAAGTCTTTGCATTGCAACAGCAGCTTAAACAAACTGAGTGCTAAGCTTGTTCCCAAACTTACCAAAGACCGTATTTAGAGGTTTTGTATGTTTTATCTTGGTTGTACTGCTCAGTAACTTAATGTGTACCTTTTTACATAAACTTTCAAAAACACATCCCACCAACTGAGGTCAAAGCCGGAAACCTTTTGAGTGTAGATAAAAAAAAAATACCTTGTTTATCATTTGAAATTCTTTTTTATACTTATTTATAGTTATAGTTTTCTGGCAGCCTGCTTCTGCTTCAAATCTCCAAAAACCAAAGATTTTCACAATGCCAGCACTTTCCCACACAATGGGCTGAATCTTACATTTTTTAACTAAGAGCCAGTTGGGTTGAGTTTTTTGGAGGATATTTCACTGCAAGGCCTAGAGAGTTTACTTGCCATATCTTTCCAAACTTCTCTCATTTACAACCTACCCCAACCCAGTCCTCCTTTTCCTCCAGACGACTGATACTGCAGTGTGCCAACAGTCTCAGATCAGGCTGGCATGGTTTAGTGTTATGGCCTTCACTCTTAGTCCTGGAACAAGAGGATGTCCTACCTGTGCATCGTTCAGAAAACTATCCCACATATTTTTATTCTTCCGACCTGAGCAGATAACTTCAAAGTTGTTTACTACAATAAGTTCACTACAAACTTTTGCAGTCAAAGTAATATGGTATTAAATTTCTGCAAATATAAACATATTAGTTCGAGTTCACTGCAAGGAGAGACACGATGCCAAATCATTTTGTCCTGCATTCAACAGGATAAATGCAAGAGTACCAAATGATCACAACAATTTATACACCGGAAAAAAAGTTGTTGTTTGGATGAGATATTGCCATGAAGAAAAGGCTCCTGAAGTTCCAGGGTAATTCAAATAGGCACAAGGCTTGAACATTTCGTTTACAGAAAACTGGTCCCTACATGTGATTGTATGTCATTTCTGACAAGTGTAAATGAGCTATATTACAAGCTTGACTGGTTATTGGTTCTTAGTGTAGCTTTAAGTGTAGTCAAGATTGTTCGTTATGTGCTGTGGATTCACAAACTGACATCTAACAGTAGAAGTTTTGGAGTGCAGTTTGGCAAGTGCTGGATGTTTGTGTATGGTCTGAACACTGCCCATTACAAGCAACTGAAACAATATGCTATTTGACTGCATCAGTTGGGACATATAGCTTATGTACCTGGCATTGTATGAGCACTGAAATTCACATATGACGTTGCTTAATTGTGTGATATGCAGGCCTTTATGGACTGATGGCATTATTCTATTCATGGAAAGTATCACACGGTTAGCAGCATGAAAAAGTTTCATCAACCTGTTGCTCAAACTGTTTTGAGATGCTTTACCTTTGTGGAGTAATCTGAGGTCGACCAGGCACTTTTCAGGACTTTGGCCTACTTGCACATTTGCATGTTGCACTACAAAGAATGATCTGGTCAGGATAGACATTGTCCTACATGATAGCGTTAATACTCACAATTTATTTTCTATATGAAGCTTGCAGGGTGAACAAATGGTTAGGGCCCAATTTGCAAGGTTGCTAGTAAGGTCAATTTACAGCATGCCAATCAACACAAATCCCAATCTGTATGTTTTCAGGTGAAGGTAGACATGTGACAGACCAGAATGCAGAACCCATAACCAGATTTCTCCACGAGCACATCAAAGAAAGGGAGCTCATTAGTTTGTTTTATTTCCAAAGTGAATTTGAGCAAGGGAAGGAGTGTATTAAGTTGTGTTACAGCTTTAATGATCATGAATGTATCATCTATGCATCAGAAATATGTGGAAGATTCAAGGGTGGAGCTCATTCCATCAAAAATACATTTAATGTGGAAACTGCAAAAAATGTTAGCTAGACTGGAACAAGAGGGGATCTCATGGCTACACCATCTATTTAGGCATACACAGTGTCATTAAAACTGAACTTACCTGTGTGAGCTACTAAGTTCATAATTTTTATGAGTAAATGTTGAGAAAATGATTGCATATCTATATTGCAAAGTTGCAGTAGATTGACATTTTGAATGTACCTCCCTGAATATTGTATGTGTGCCCATATTGCCACGTGCATGCACCTAAATGTGGAAGAGAGCTGTAACCTCGGCAAATCCTGTTACTGTGAATGTGGTGCACTGTCTGTCTTAAAAGGCAAACTGTGCCACCCTGGCAAAAGAGTATTGGTTACTGTAGATTCTATCAGCTGCAAAACCTTGAAATGACTCACCAGGAAGGAGCACTGTCACGCTTGAAGCCATTGAGAGAGTATGCCTCTGGCATCTCTTGCCTGTAGTTGCAGAAAGATGTACAACTCAGCTACCATCTCTCAGGTAAGACTCCCTGATGTTACCTGTCAATCATATTCAGGGAATTATCCCAATACCTTTGGGTGGGCACTGCCTTATTCTTCAAAACCTCTGCCTTGCAGATACTTGGTGTCGTGGTTCCTCCTGCCCTCGGACCTGTGGACCAGTGGCTGCAGGATTTCAGCTGCTGATGCTATTGCTGCACTATCCATTGGTGTACTAAAGGCAGTGCACGCTCATGATGTGTAAGAGGACTACTTGACTGCTGAAGACTCGGCGGCTGAAGTAAAGATCTGTTGATGGCAGATCTGTAGCTGTACTGGCTGTTACCTGCAGTAACTCCTTCTTGCACATCCCCTTCCCTGGCAGAGAATGCTTTGGTTTTGCAGTTTTAAAAACTGAGAAAACCGCTTGAAAAAAGTTGCTCCCTTCCAATCCTGTCCTCTTCCCAACCTGGCAGAGAGGCCACACCCTTGATTGAGGAGACATGTTTTGTTAGAGGTATAACAGGAAAGAAAAGTAGTGAGCATTAGGATGAGCAATTTTCGTTTACTGTTTTTAATGGGGCTGCAAATACATTTGTATACTGGATCTACTCTACTGCAAAAGGCCTCTTGAAAATGCCATGGAGTCAAAAAAAAGGCACAGAAAAATCGCTTTCTCTTAACAAAAACTACAGTCCAGATTTTCACCATGACAGAGAGTGTTTCCTCCATGTGAAAATGATAGAAGAAATTGGGAATCCCAAGTCCCACCCCCAAACCCATCATCTCTCATTTTCGCAGGGAATGCGTTTGGTGATAATGAATAGTTCGTGTATACATGGTTCCCAGAGGCAGCTGACTATTTAAATAGTCAGCTACATCTAGTGAAATCAGACTCTGGAGTCCCTGAGTGTGAAACCTGGAGTCTGGAGATTAGACCAGATTTGAGCAGCTCTGTTCTCAGTGCACTTTTTTGGATGGTCAGTATTCCCACTGAATCCCTCTTTGGATCTAGTTCTGTGCATCAGTGGTGAACTGTGTGAATGCTGAAGGTGGTGGATGGGGATCAATCAAGTGGGCTGCTTTGTCCTGGAATGTGTCAAGCTTCTTGAGTGTTCTTGGAGCTGCACTCATCCATGGAATTGGAAACCATTCCATTACACACTTGTGCCTTGTAGTTGTTGGACAGGCTTTGGAAAGATAGGAGGTGAGTTACTCGCAACAGAATTCCTATCCAATGGCTAGGTCTCATAGCCATAGTGTTTATATGGCTAGTCCAGTTTAATTTCTGATCAATATTAACCCACAGCATGACAATATTGTATAGGCGGCAATGGTAATGTAATTGAAATCAAGGGATGGTGGTTAGGCCTTGTCTTGTTGGAGATGATCATGTCTGTCACTTGTGTGATGTGAATATTACTTGCCACTTGTTAGCTCAAGTCTAGATGTTGTCTGGGTTTTAGTGTATATGATACAGACTGCTTCAGTATGTGAGGGGTCATGGTTCTGAACCATTAGTGAACATCCTCACTTCTGACCTTATGATGGAGGGAAGGTTATCGATGAAGCAGCTGAAGATCATTGGGCCAACAGAGAAATTACTTCAGAGATGCCCTGTGGCTGTGATGACTGATCACGAACCACCATGAACATCTTCCTCTGTGATGGGGTCTGACTCCAATCATTGGAAAATTTCTGCCTGATTCCCATTGATTCCAGTTTTGTGAGGCTCCATGATGCCGTAATTCATCAAATGCAGCCTTGGTGTCAAGGGCAGTCACTCTCAGCTCATCTCTGGAGTTCAGTTCTTTTTTTCATGTTTGGCTCAAGGTTGTAATGAG